ACATCAAATACCGGGTCTTATGTTGTATCAGAGAATAAATGAGCAGGTAGAACGCAGTACAGCAAATGATCACAAGCACAAACAGAAGAAGAAAGATCAAGAGCTAAAGATACAAGGAGAAGATCGGGATAACTAATCGAAAAAATTACAATCGTAGAGGAAACTAGAATGTCGAGAAATTCTGATCATAAACATTAATTCAAATATTATTTCTTTTGCAATGATTGAGATAGAAGAACAATACTACAGGTTTTTAAAAGGCCAGTATCTTTAACTTAAATCGATCATTTTCTGACATTTCTATGATCGTAGCTATTAGAGAAAACTAAAGAATCCAATAAAAACTATCCATAATCATAAAAAATGAAGAAAACTTCAAGCGATCTTTTTCTCTGATAGATAGGATTTGTCCGAGTTTTCAGCCTGATGGAAAAAATACTCAAGTTTTATTAAGCTAACTCAAAATACTATAAACAATGTCTATCGTAGTTTTGTTATTTAATAATAAACTCGCTAACGTATTGATATTTACGAAAAGCGTTCTACTTCATTGTACATGATCTTCGCGAAATTCTCAATGAAGGTCAATGAATATATATATATATATATATGGAAAGAATGATTTGTAGCTTAGAAAAAAACTACGAAAAATCGGTATTTCCTGACGGTGAAGTACGAAACATGATATTTTAACTTTTTAATTACAAGTTTGATGATTATTTAGGTTTGTTGATTTTGATGATGGCATACTTTATACAACATCACACATCGTAAGAGAACTAACGTTATATTCGCATGAAAAGTTATTATCTTGGTTTCCTGGAACATTCGATAGATACAATCATGTAGAAACATTAACGCTGAATTTTCATACTAATTTTCAAGGGTTTAATGGAATTTTATCATCGTTTGTATTCCCGAATGTTTGTCATTTATCATTATCATTTCCAAACGATGACTATGACAGCGACGGAGATGGTAATTGTAAGTTTATTCGTAACCATCTGAGTCCAGCCGAATGTCATTCAGTTTGGATATTTTTGAACAGAATTTTGCCATTATCAAAACTACAAACATTGACTATGTTCAACTTACTGCCTGAAAATTATTTGATCCAATTACTTAGTAAAACGACGAATTTAACGAAATTGAAGATTGACTATTGGCAAGGTGAGGTATCAAATTTAACTTCTCTATGTAAAGTACCAATAATAAAACTCTCAACTATCTTTCAGGTTTACTCAAACGTAATCTTGTCGAGTTTATGGTTGAAAATATAGAACTATTCAAAAATATTCAATATCTCTCTATAACTCAAGTAATGAATCCTAAAATAAATATTAAAAATGTCGAAAAATTTATTCATATATTTGATAATAATCGGCTTCTTAAAGTATTACATATTGAAATGAATGACACATATCCTTTTCCAGTGTTACGATTACTATTACATAAAATGAAATCATTACGATTTATTAGTATTAAATCAGATATATTTGGATATGAAGTTGAAGAAATATTGGCATTATTTAAAGAAGTATTAAACGGAATTGAATATCAAGTAAACATAAAACAGAACATATTATCAATTTGGTTTTAGTTTATGAATGTGAAGGCAAAATGTGTCTATAGATAAAGAGACAACCTACACTGACATCCTTACTTCTCTATGTAAATTTATTGTATATGTATTTTTGTTGATAAATTAGAATTCATTGATTTTTCATGTAAAAATCTTTGTAAAACATATTGAATTTTTTTTTTCGAAATGAAATAAAATAAAATAGATTAATAATAATAGCATATTTATATGGTGTGAAAAAAAGCTAATGATTACAAGCTCATTCCATACCAACCAAAACAGAGATTAACAAAACAAAAATAATTATCTATGTTATTATACTTTTATTTCTTTATATAAATGAATTTCAATGAAAAATAATATAGATTGATCTCACGAGGAGACATTCCCAACTGTCATATCGCTTTTGAGTCGAGTGTATGTGCATCATGTAGGTCCTATGATCTATGAATACTCTGAAAAAAGTTCGTGCTGTTAGCTTATTGCTGCCGAAATATTGCATTTTTACTGTATGTATAAGCAAAAAGCCGTGGTCCCTCTCAGGAACACTAGGAAAACTAAGTTTCGAATTTCAGCTTGAAACTTTGTACAGGGACAGATCTCAATGAGAATAGTTTATTGTGAAAGTTTCAGATTTTTTGATTGCTTCTAGTCTAAAATAAGAACATCGGAATCTGCTGGTGTGTATAAGCTATTTTACCATAGCTGTATCTTAGGATAGGAACAACGAAAAGATCTGAAACTTTCACAATAACCTATTCTCACTAAGGCCCATCTCTATGCAAAGTTTTAAGTCGAAATTCGAAATTTAGTTTTTCTAATGTTCCTGAGAGGTGCCACGGCTCTTTTGTCTTAAACATAGAGTAAAAATGTAATATCTCGGCAGTAATAAGCTAGCGGCTCGAACTTTTTTCAGAGTATTCATAGATCATTAGGACCTACAGGATGCGCATACGCTGGACTCAAAAGAAATGTGACAGTTGGTTTTGAACTACTTTTAGGCGCTTCACAAAAGATATATTTTAAGAAAAACGAAAATATTATGTCCAACATCTTAAAAACCAAAAAATAAAATATTTGGTACCTGTAAATCTAAGGTTAGAATGGTAGGATAGGAAAGTTTCAAAAATATAGAATTGGAATTGTATTTTGGTACTCAAAAATGTTCACAAATGAATCACAGTTCACTGAAGAAAAAATAGCTAACAGGTACAATCGACTGATTTCATTCACTGAGGCTATATGGTGAACACTGAAGGATAAAAATTTACTTTTTTGTCACAAAGGAAAATCTTTAACGTTTCGATCATAACCAATGTAAAGTGGATACAGAATGATATCACAGTAGCTGGAGACAATGGACAAGCACCGGAGTCAATCAATTCAGTTATCCATGCAGTTTATATATTGATGATGATCAGACTGTTTATATTGCTGAGTATTCAAATGATCGTATTGTAGAATGGAAGAATGATGCAACAAGTGTTTCAAATTAGCGATGTTGGGAACCAATGAATCATGCAATGGGCTCGTCGAAATAGTACAAGTGGACAAACAATCATTTCAGGTGTTAACTGCTATGGATTGACAATAGATAATAATGGATATCTCTATGTTTCTGACTACAATAAACATGAAGTGAGAAGATGGAAAATGGGAGATATTCATGGAACAGTGGTAGCAAGTAATAATGGATAAGGTAATCGTCTCGATCAGCTGAATGACTCCTACAACATCTTCGTTGATAAGGAACATTCATATATATATCTGATGGAAACAACCATCGTGTGATGAAGTGGATAGAAAGTGTAAAAGCAGGCATTTTTGTTGCTGGTGATCAAGGTCTAGGGAATAGTCTAACACCACTGAAAACTCCTATTGCAGTAGTTGTCGATGATTTAGGCGCTGTCTATGTAGCAGATTATGGCAATCATCGAGTAATGCGTTGGTTGATAGAAGCTACACAAATTAGTGTTGTTGCTGGTGGAAATGGATCAGGAGCAAGAGCAAATCAGCTCTATTTTCCTTGGAATTTATTATTCGATCGGCAGAACAATCTCTATGTCGTCAACTGTTACAATCATTGAGTCCAAAAATCCAGTATTGATCTAAGTTCGTGTTCATAACTATAGAAAATCAATCTTAATAAAATGTCACTTTCTTTTTTTGCATTGTTTTTTCGTGAATTAATAAATGCAATAATAATTTCTTCTTACATCATCAAGATCAATCAAAGAACAAATAATTTTGTTATCAGGGTGTGTGTGAGAACAGAAAAGACACACACCCACATCCTGTTGGCAACACCGGCTATTTCTAACATTATAGATTGGAATGTAACTAAGACACAGGTGTATAGTTGGGTAACACGCCGAGATCGCTGGATTTGCCAGACACTATATCATTTTAACGCTCACTTAGACCACATGAGTGCCACAACTTGTAGGGAAAGTGTGCTTTTGCTTGTACATCACAGAGAGGGTACCACAGATTTCATCAAATCAGTGATACTTACAGATGACTTTGATATAGAACCTGATTTAGATCTCTCTCGAAATATTATCACGAATAGGTCTCTTAAAGATTTTAAAAATTTGACAGAAACATCTCACTATGGTTCGAATCATGCTTGGAATATTTTCTTCGTAGCTGCGCCTTTATTTTGATTGTCGCCACCTAAGTATGACGCATTTGAGGCGTCATCGTTTATCTGTATTGAGTGCTCGTGTATAGATATGTGAGTGTCAGTGAGAGTGACGAGAGTTGGTGGTAGCATTGAGCCGTCTCCTCACATTCACACCCACCCACATCTTTTCATACATTTAAATGCTCCGAAAATACTACTTCTGAGTATTTACACTCATTTTTGAAAAATCTTATCTGCTTATTTTCCTTTTTATATTACGTCATTAAGTAAGACAATGTCACTAAGAATATCTTTTTGTTTTTACATTCTCTTCTGCAAAAAGAAAAAGAGCCAATCTTTTTTACTGAATATATGTCAACAGAAGATACGAACACAATTACTCATAACAAACGAAATGAAATGATATTATAAAGAAGAGAATATAAAAAGTTTTAAGTCATGTTCTGTGAGTTTTTCACGTATGAAAATTTGCTTTCATTTAATATTGCATATCAATAGACAACATGAATGTAGAAAGAATTTCGTCATCAATGACAAACATAAAAACTAAACCAATGGCATCACAAATAAATCAATCCAATAAGGTTGGTATATATTTCGATATCTACTATAAAAATAGAGAAGAATGGATAAATCAATGGATTCTAAAATCTCAAGGTTTCTGTAAGTATTTCTTTACTTCTTTTTTTTTCTATATTCATCGAAAATTATGTAGACTTACACAGAAATCCAGTATACGACACCAGATCTAAAAATACTTCAGTAACTAACACAAATACGACACAAAACGAAGATGAAATTTATTTGGATCATGATAAAACTGATGATCATTCTGATGGTAATGAACTATGTTTTTTTTATCCTTGTCATCCATTAGATGATTAAAACCGAAGCATATCGTCATAGATAGACTATTATTCGATTATAGTTCAAACGAGAAAACTACTAAATACCATCAGACTTGGAGAAGTCTCACTCAATCGACTCGTCTGTCATGTTGTTAAGCATTCTGATTAAACATCTATTCTATTATATCTTTGGATTGCCGAAGATCATTATCTATTGATTTTATCTATGAGATTTGAATTTTGTTTAATAATTAGAATATATCACTGGCGGTCTAGTAGAACATGAAAAACAATTAGCTTTTGGATAAAGAAAATGTTGAATTTAGTATTTTTTTTTATGCTAGACAATGAATATCATAAGTATATTCGTCAAATATATCAAGATAAACCTTGCAAAAATCAACAAACGAATGGCACAAGTCTTTTTCATCAGCTTGTAAGCTCCATCGACATTGTTTTTTACTTCATAAGTAAATTAATTCTTTATAGAAAAAGATGGAATCCGATCGAATTACAAAGCATGCAGCCAGATTGGCGTCAGAAAGTACTTCTACCTCTAATGAAATGTAAGCTAAGTTAAGTGACTTGTCTTTATCTTTTCTTGAAAAGACGAAGAAAGAATCAATTACATCGAAAGAATTTCAGTGTTGAACTATGACTAATAATAAACGAGGGAAGTAGTCACTACCTTCTTCTAATCATTTTGTAGGAGAAATCATTCTTTTCAATTAAAACTACACCTGTTTTCAACTTCAAAACTTATAGAAAACGACACTGAGTTTCGCTAAACATGAGTAAATCACAACTAATTATATTCGTATTCAAAAATAATCAATGCGATTAGATTCTTTTCAAGTTTGCCAACAGCATCTTCAAATCAAGTTTTTCGTCTATCAATAATTCGATGTTGAATTTTACAAACCAGACCGATCAATTGTAAAATTATAGCACAGTAAATTATTCTGAATTTTAGAACAACTCAAATACTGACACGTGAATGTGATGTATGTTTGTTAATAAAATCTGAACAAGATTTTTCTCCTGCTTACAGTACAAGATGTCGACATAAATTTCGTCATGTTTGTAATCTATGCACTTATATGAGCATCAAAGTTATTCTCGATGACATCATCAGTGGTCAAGTTTTATGTCCTGAATCGAAATGTTTGATAAATTTTAATTCAGATGAAATTTCTCAAGTGCTTGCCATTAATAAGGATCATGTATTACTAGAAAAATACCATAGCTATCTAGACAGACAATTTCTCGATAATTTAGATGATTTTTATTGGTGTGCACATGGTTGTGATTCTGGTCAAATCGTTGAAAGAAAATCACCTCAAGACTTAAAAATTACTTGCATTACATGTGCAAAAGATACATGTATATTTCATCGTGTTAAGTGGCATGAAGATATGACCTGTGATCAATATGATCAACTACATCCATCCATTGATTCTATGACAAATAAATGGATGAAAAAAAATTCGAAAAAATGTCCCGAATGTAAATGTAAAATTGAGAAGAATGGTGGTTGCTTTCATATGACCTGTAAAAAATGTCATCATGAATTCTGTTGGGATTGCCTGGCCAGTTACGTGATATATAAATCTAAACCACGTCGGCAACATAAAATCAGTTGTACGAATCATCCTATCGGCTCTTTAATCTCACGAGTTCATTTAACGAGACGTAGGAACTAATAGATCGACACAGTCCTATCAATTAAAGATAATAATCATGAAATGTATTCTTTTTTTTATAATAAACACAACTTTTTCAAGGCGCTTCGAACATTGGAAGCTATAAAGCTCATGTAGTTCTAATACAATCTAATTAGAGTACACGTGTGTGCGTCAATGTGTGAGTACCTTGAAAGCTGACGCCTGTTCCTATCCACAGAGTAGAATGATCGAAGAATTAGAAAAAAAATATTTGCTTCTCAAAAATTACAATTCAACAACAATCCGAAATGGTTACAAATCGGATCGCAATTAACCTTGTTGAAGACGTCAGCTGTTCAGAAATAGACACGAACAAAAAATCTACTTAGAGGATATCCAAAATCTATAGATAATCATTCTACCAGATAACAAATAAAGTACCTATCCAGCTTAAATGCTTTTCTTTGAATGAAAGAAATTCAAGTACGATTCCTCCAACGAAAGATTGTTTGAAAAATATTCACTAAGTATTTGATCTATTCGTTTTATGCTCGATTTGCCTACATTTATCATAGAGAGTGAAAGAAGATGTGCATGAGAGTGTGAATGAAATGATGAAAATTCAAAGGTGGATCCGCGCCGAAAAAATCTTTTAGGTTCCGTAACGTCTATTTAGTGGAAGACTCTGTCTAACTAAAGAATAACACTGTTATTAGTGCATTTTAACAAATCAAACACTTCTTCTTGTACATCAATCTAATCTGTAAATTGAATTATTATGGAAGACGCTGTTCTCGAAATGTCAATAACGTAATTGAAGCGAAAACATTTTCGAAAATTTCATGGATTTTTTTTGACTCTACAAAAAATATAAATTTATTTCATAAGAGAAAAAGTTAAACAAAAAGTACTAAGAGCAACAACAACAATACTAGAATAGATTAAACCCAAAGATCTATAGATCAGCGTTGGAACCGGGCCGATAGAGATGGGAATTTCACCGATTAAAAGTTTCCAAAAATCTTCTTTGTTAACCCTGATTTTGATCATAAAAACTAAGGTGTCACATTTTTTTTTCTATCAGGATGCGTAAAAAAGTGCTTGAAGCCATTTTGTCTAAAAATCGGTTTTCAAAAAACAATTCGACATTTTTTCATCGGAATTTCACCGGTTGGACATGTGATTCCAACCGGTCGGTTTACTATTTCTCAACCGGTTCCAACTCTAATACCTACACCCACACTCAATCCCTTAAGTCAAAGAGACGACAACAAATGTTCAATTCAAAATTATTTCTTCCAAAAATGTTAATCGATTTTTGGCGAAAGTGTTCAAACTTATAATTCAATAGTTAAAGATGTTTATGAATTTTATATCAAAAACGTTACACGACAAATTTACGATTATTCATTTATAATCAAGAACAGATCTTATCTTTTTCTAATGTTTCATTTTCTTCATCATCATTATTCACAACAATCACTAAATTCAACCGTATCTCCGTTTTCTGCTCCATTTGATCTTACTTATGAAAAGTTCATGTCTAACTATAACCCAACTGTTGGGTCATGAGATCTTGCTTATGATGTTGATTTATCAACACGTATTGTCCCATTTATTGATATAGATGCTCGTGATCGTACAAATTCAGCCTATTATCTTAATAGTTATGCAGTAGATTTCTTTAATCATGATTCAGAAACATCATTAATTCTAGAAAATCAAATAAATCTTGATGAAACAAACCATCTTCTATTAGATTTTTCATTGATGTTTTCATCAATAAAAACTTCTCTGGAAATAATTATACGTAATGAGAACGAACAAGCAACAATCAATGATAAACAATGTTGCCAGCCACTATATGAAAAAATGTCAAATATAAAAGAAATCTTTGCAGAGAAATTCTACAAAGCATATCCTTATACAAAGTTATATTAATAGGATTGTCGTTTTATTTCCATATTTCTTTTTTTTGGAATTCGAAAAATTACATTTATCCTAGCTATTCAATAAAGCCTAGAAGTACTTGTTAGCATGATACAGCCCATATTCATTTTTAATTAGTTCGTTAACTGTGTCGAATTTGTCAGAGAATGACAATTAGGTTGTTGAACTGAGTAAGCCATTAAAAATTTGAATAGTAAAAAACTCAAAAGTAAATTATGACAAACTCTCAATATTCTATTAATCGGCATATTAAGTCAAAGAATATCTTTTTAATTCATTCATATCATTGTTTAATGACAAGCAATAAATGTCTTATTGACACTTCAATAGGTTTCTTATATGGGTGAGAGGCAGCTTTGAATCGAAGATATGTTTTGTTTTTATCTATCATCTAAATGAAACTTAAAAACTCTCGTATAAAGCTTCCTCGCTGTTATCGACTGCGAGATAAATCAATTTTCTTAAGAACAATAGGGAGTTTGAGTCCAATGAATCCGACAGAAATTGAAGTCTACTCGACTTGTGAGGGAAATATTTACTCAATTCTACGGATATGTATATACCTAGTAGTTGAATTTCATTGATTCTTTTTCAATGTATTAGTGGTGTCCTTTGAATATGTGAATGCTACAGTAGGATTTCGTATTGATCACTTTCGAAATGTCTATCTTTTGTGATTTTGCTGCTTTGAGGTCTTTTGGCATACTTCATTGTTAAACTTTTCAATCTTCGAAAGGAAGGGAGTCATTACAAGACAAAATCGGTCTCTCTCAGCAATTTTCATATTCAGTTCAAAATCAGTCCTAAGCGATGTTCCAAGTTGTTTCTCACAAAGATAAATTAATTACAGTGTATATTCCATTGGAGAACCTTTGGATCCACCTCGAGGTTCAGAACCTATATGTTTTCTCAATGTACTCCCATTCAATTGACCTCATGCAAAATACGTTCATATGGTTAACATCATAAAGTACATTCATACCCATAAATGAATATCTGATTCTATTGCTTTTAGTGAGTCGAATTCATCTTCATTAGTGATGGGTTCTATATCATTCAATATCCCATCTTCAGATGGATATGGATGTTAATGACAATAAGAAGAAGAACTACACCCACACCCTTAAAATTCCGTTTGTACTGTTGAATGGAAAGCGGCTGACTGGATAAGATCCAGTCTAAATAAAATAGTTTTATTACTAAACCTGTATCCAGAGAGGAAGTATGGGTGTGAATAAGAAAGGATTCGCACGTGCACTCATATAGACAAATTTTTGTCGAGTATCGGAATTTATATACGTGTTATAGGAATATCTTTCATGTATATTTTACTCTATGGTCAAATCAAAATAAAATAAAAAATATATAATCAAAGTTAGATCTCCTATTTATTCAAAAGTGATTACTAGTTATATATACACCAACAAAAACATGGGGGTGTGGGTGTAGGTCTTAATATACTTCGACACATCCACACCCTCAAATATGTTGCATCTTGAAAAATTGAAGTAACAAAAGAAACATTAATAATATTAACATCAAACGTTGTTAAAGATGAAAATGTCACTTGTAAAAAATTTGTGCATGATTCAAAACGATACCTACAAAGAGGCTCTCACAAATCAATGATGTAGATATTCGTTGTTCTATAATTAAATATTGTGCGTTTCAATAAAGCATCAGTAAATATTGCTTCGTTCAATGTCATCTGTCATTGAAAGTCAATGTTTACAAGTTCATCATATGACCAATCTGTACAATCAAGGTTCAAATAAGTAAATTTTGACTAATGTTCAAAAGAAGTTCTATATATAAAATAATAGCATTTTTTTTCTTACATAAATATCAAGAAGGTCTGCTTTGAAAAGAATTTGCACAAGAATGGCACGACGTATTAGATCGAGTTGACGTAAACCCACTACATATTATTTGAGTCACTTAACTTTGATTCATAGGGTGTGGGTGTGTGGTGTGGGTAAAGAGGTGTAGATAAGAAGATGACCCTCACATTCATCCAAACCGACACCCACAGCCACTAGAGCCCATCGGGTCCGGATCTGAAATTTTTTGCCCATTGGGACCAAATCAAAAAAACTCTTGATGCATATAATAAAATTTTACGAATTTCTTTAAATTTTCGATCGTTTGATTCAAAAAAGCTTAATTTGTTTATAAAAAAAGATGAGATTTTTTGGCTCATAAAATGTGATTGACTTGTCATAAAAATGATCTACAGGTTCGAGTCTGAAAATCTTGATCGACCGGGTCCGGGTTCGGATCCGGGCCCAGAAAAATTAAATTCACCGAGTCCAGGTCGGGTTCGGGTCCAAAAATTCTAGGACCCGATGGGCTCTAACAGCCACACCTACACCACACCTAACCCACACTCAAAATAATCTTAGATAGACTCGGTTGTTATCCGTCATCTGATTATTATTTGAAAATGAATAATTCATTTGATTTGTTTCTTTTAAATTTTTTAATTAAAATCTATCATTAATATATATTTATGGATAAATTAACAAAGCATAATTCATCGAAAGATAAAGTCTCAACACATACTCGACATATTCATTTCGATACAATTATTTTCTGATTACCATGATTGTTTTTGACTATGAATACCACCTAGAACAACTACACAAATTTTAATACCTTCTTCAACAGCAAATAATAAAACTATCGCAATTGATGATGAAGATATTAATCTTTCATCTATCTATTTTAAAGAAAAAAAAAGAATGTACACCATCTGATTCACAATTAAATACAAGTGAGTGACCTATGATTGAAGTTAAGCAAAAAAAAATGAAAAATAGAATTGCGCCCTTTTTTCTCTATTGTTGTATATTTAGTGTGAAAATAAAATATGTGCAATACGATATTTGGTCACTTTTAATAGACAAGATGTCTATTAATAAGATTGAAGAATAACAAAAGGCTAATAATTTAAATGTTTTAGTTTTTAATGGTATATGAATATTTTCAGAAGAATTGTATGCAAAATTTTTATTTTACTCTTGTAATTAATGTTGTAAGTGAGAAAAGACTCATTCTTTAATATCTTGACGATTGCTATACTTCATATTGATTCTTTTTCGAATTTAAATATTCAAGAAGTTTTTTTT